CCACATGTAGGGAGGGTATTCTTCTCGAGTTACTTGATGTAACCGAAAATATCGGTCTTCCCCTTTCCAGGTACCCCGGTCCATACCATCAACTCGCGCCTCGGCGAATACGGTGAAGATGATGTCCTAGACCGTAGCGACGTTGCCGTAGCTGGTCGATGTGGGAGGTCTTGCAGGTCAAGAGTACTGACCTTCAGGTAGCTATCTGTGGATGACTTCATTCAAGAAGTCTCGCAGCTGTTTGGAGGCGACGTGAATTCTAAAGGTGTTCTCCAGTCAGGCCGCGACTGGAGATGACTTCATATTTTGGCGTACATGAAGGCGATTGGCGGCAGCGTGCTCCAGCTTATAGAGGAAGATCTTGGGTATCTTCCACTCTGGTACTCATATCCACTTCCCCTGTCTGGGCTGCGAAAACTTCGTTGATATGTGGCTCGGCCGAAATGACTTTTTTTTGGCCCCCCCTGTATAGTGACCACTGTCTACCAATCGCGTGAAGATGAAGTAACCCTCCCATGTAAAGAAAAATTGATATGAAAAAATTGACTATGTCGAAAAATCGAAACAGAAATATTGAGGTGGAGGAGAAGGGTCGGAACCTGAACCCAATTTTCATCAGCTTCCAAGAGAGAGTGTCAAAGCAGCCCATTTTGAAATTTTCAGAATCTAGGTCCTATTATGAGAGTAGTGTACAATGTAATTACTACCACATCCTCAACTTCTTGCAACATTCCGATCCGTTTTTTCGGTATTACCAAGAAGTGAACTGGAGCCTGTGGACTGATGTCGTGAAATGCCATCACCTGAGAGAAATCCTACCAGCATAGGTTACTTCGAATTTTGTCCATGGTCTTTTATTGAATTTTCCACTCAACACTGGCTTGTTGTGTAATCTATCCTAGTCCCTGTCCCTGCAAACGAGAGGGCGTGGACTGGAGCGCAGGTAGGGCAGCCTTTTCCACTAGTTTTCGAGGGGGTTTTTTTGATTCCGACTGTGGAGGAGCTGTCCGTTCAGTAGCACGCTCCTTCACACCCTCTTTCTTTGCAGGGATAATCACTGTATGCATACTCTAACGCAGGGCACATTGTTGTTGGGGAATCCCCAACAGGAGGAGAGGGGTCGTATTTGGCCGTCAGAATAGGGAGCGGTCATATTTGGCTTAAAAATTTATTTTGATAAGTGTTTTTTCTCGTTCACGGACGGTTGTGAAAGGGTGTCGTACTTGCCCTCCTGTTAATGAGCGGGGAGGGGGGACGAGGAGGGGGTATACCAAACCGTGTTTACTTTCTTTGGCCTTCTGGAGTTGGTGGAGGTGGTGGCTATGACTTTTCGTGACATTCCTCGCTTTCATATGTGTACGATGTGCTCCGCCCTCCCCCCCAGTCGACGACCCGATCCCGATGAGGAGCGGACAGGCCGGAAGGGGGGAGGGGGGGGGATACCTACCACCCGAAAAAGGAGGGGCGGGGTTCGTAGAACTCGACCAAAATGCCCACTCCAATGACTGTATCTTTACTCTAACGCTTTTCCACTGGAAAAAAAGCAAAAATATTCGCAATAAAAGTCCATAGTGGAATTATCGTCGCTTCCATCTATAGCTCTCCTAGGTCCATTTTGCTCAGTTTAATTAACCGCAAGACTTAACTGAATAATACCCCTACAAACAGTACCTCGTCATCTTCGTACAGAACTTTTGCTGATATCTCTTTACGAATAATTTGTCCAAAAATAGTGTCTTCCTCACGCACAGCCGTTCGTGCTTTGTCCACTTCTGACATTATCCTGGAAGTTTGGCCGATAATGGCCTACAACCATACTGCGTTATGGCTCCAGTCAACCTGCAAAAACCACCTCAATGATGAGACGCCGATGTAGTCCCGTTCTATTTCACTCACGTTCCTTCAACACACAATCACTTCCTTCAAACTCACATTCACAGATTGGTCACACCTCAAAGTATCACAGATAAGTCTGTATTCAAGTCCGCTCCGTATCGCTCAGCTGAAACCAACGATTATTCAAAAAATTATTCCATAACGAAGTCCCAGAATGGCTGGAAAATCAAACAACCGCTAGAAGGGTTTGCGCTGGACCAGGCAATGAAGGCCCGAATAAATGCGGCTTAGATGAGATGGAGAGACTCCACTACCATACTCTACGTTCAATGGTGGTCTAGGACGTACAGAGCGAAAATTAGGCCTTCTACGCGCTTTGGCAGTCAAGGCTGGCTACTAGACAAGAACCATAAAAGGCAGCTACACGTTGCTAAAACGAGGATACTGAGATGGGCATGGAACTCGGCTGCATTGACTCAGAAACAACGATGTCAAAACGGTTATCTACGCGGCCCCATTCCAGTCAAAGGCACGGGAACAACTGCGGGGTACGGGACACGTGCTCAGAAAGCGTAAGGACCTTTTCCTTGAGTAACAGGGCACGTCGTACACGGGGAGTCCCCACCGGGGTCGCATTTGGTTGCTAGGGGGAGGGAGAGATCGTATCTGGCCTTAGAGAAATTTTTCCACTTGTTGACTTCTTCCTCTTCCTTGTTCAGATGAGCTACATACTTCCTTCCTCTCTGCCCCCTCGACGGCGAAAACTCTGGGAAACTGGAGTCGTTAGAAGCTGGGAGAGGCCAGTAGAACGGTGGGTAGCATGGGAAGGAAGGGAGAGAGGTGGAAGGATACATCGAAAACTTCCCCCAGCGACAGGGGTGCATTGCCAAGGGAAGCACAGAGCTTCGAACTCTCAGGCAAGCGAACGCGAGGAGCCTCAAAGAAGAAGTGGAAGGACTTTATCAAAGAGAACCTCAATAAAGGCATAAGGCACGATAGTCGGCACTCAGTCCAAAATGATAGCAGGGTGCTATATAGTGGGAAAATGGCGAAAAAACGAAGTGAAACGGTCAAAAACTGCAAAAAAAGCCTTCGTTCTTCATGACTCAAAAAGCGATTCCGGACGAGTTTCCCGTAGGCATCGTGCCGTATGGCTGTACTTACCCATATAGACATGCACCACCGAAGCCTGCTTCATATCAGTTCGTTCGCTTCATATTTTACTTAGCAAATGAAGCAATACGAGCATCAACATCGGTCGCACATTTGTGCGAGCAGGAGCGGTGAGCATCCGGGTCGACCCGATAGGGGCGTCAGAAAGTGAGGCTCACCAAGTCCAACGGGTCACAGCATCAGTTAGGTGTTAATTCCAAGGTATGATATAGTGTATGGGACAGGAAGATTACTGGTAAGTGACAAGAACTGTAAGCTGCTGATAAGATTGGATAAGGGGCGCCAGAATGGTAAGGTCAATGTGTTTACAATGCGGGTCACAGCATCAAGGAGGTGTTGGTTTCAGCAAATGATATAGACGGTAAGATGGGGACATCAAAAAGCGATAGCAAGTGATAGGGGCTAATAAGGGACGTTGCGAACGTCGTCGCTGTTCAGGGTAGTGAAGCTTTTACATTACCAAACCATCAAGATTAGGTAATAAGGACATTAATGACGGGTGGCAGGTAATCATATCAGTCGAGAAAAATAGAAAGAGGCCACTACATTTCTCATTACTTCTTACCACTATAATGTTAGGAGATGAAAGTCGCAATCGAAACAAAATAGGAGGGACCAACAGTTTGGAGCGGGAACTTCCTGCCTAACGTAAAGGATAAAAGGATAAAGTCTCCCCCACTTGTCACTATACCACCTCCGTCTCCTGCCTAATGTAAGATGCAGAATTGCCGTGCGACGCACACTTTGACATGTACAAGGCGATGTGAAATTCTTCTTTTCAGTGCCGCTCATGACTCCACAGTTGTGCTTCTTCCCAGGATAACAGGTCCGTGTATGTTACACTACTAATCCGGGATTTATCCTTCACCCATTCTGATATCGCAACAGCGGTAATCAATGAAATGATGCCGCCTTCTCCCGGTTGAAAGTCAGTAATTAGCGAG